TTGAGACTACAGTGATTCAGTGCTTCACAGAATGCAAACTACTTCCATGTACTCAGCTTACTTCAGCACACAACTTTATCAGATAGGAAAAAACACACATTTTTAATCAATACTCCCTTACAGGTATGAGGTTTTATTGCTGGAAGATAATTATGCCATTCATTGATTCCTTGCACCTGAGTTTATAATGTTCAGAAAAGTTAGTAACTTGACCGTGGTCATATGGCTAATTCCTACCAGATCCAGAGGATGTGCCAGATCTTCTTATTCTCCACCTAGTTCCCTGCTTCTCAGATTTGCTACAAAGCTTGTTGGCAGCCATGGCACTTTTAGGGGAAAAAAAGGCAGGGGGGTATTTTCTTCTGAAAACTTTGGTTTTAAGATTAAGCTTTCCTGCTTTTGGGGGGGAGGGTTAACTTTTTTCTTTTTTTAAATTTATTTATGAGAGAGAGAGAGACAGCATGAGCAGGGGAGGGTGAGAGAGAGAGGGAGACACAGAATCTGAAACAGGCTCCAGGCTCTGAGCTAGCTGTCAGCACAGAGCCCAATGCAGGGCTCAAACCCATCAACTATGAGATCATGACCTGAGCCGAAGTCAGATGCTTAACTGACTGAGCCACCCAGGAACCCCTAGATTTCCTGCTCTTTATCTAGGAAACTCAAACCTCTCTTCTCTATCTCCATATTCTCATATAGGTAACTCATGATGGGGAGGACTCATTTTTAGAGAGTGTCCATGAAAGTACCATATAACCGTTAATGTGTCTAGATCAATGTCATGCATTTCCAGTAGTTCCCCTGTCTCTGCCACAAGTGACATCCAGGAGAGGGATGCAGAGATCTCAGACTTCACCCAGAACATAAAAGCAAACTACCTATTTTTACTACAAAAAGAAGAAGCTAAGATATTTTACTGTAAAGACAGCCCGTGGCTCTCAGAAAACAGCAGCCTTGACCTGGTGGCCTATCACACATCCAAAAGTCAGGCCACCATTCATTTTCACTCTCAAATGTGTAAATTGCCCAGAAAGACAATTCTAAAGGAGCATGGCAGAAAATATCTAAGCCCTATAGCTTTACCGACCCAATAATCTCCCACAATTAAAAAATCCAGTTTTAAAAATACTTATTTATTGATTATTACTAATAATAAATACTGTAATACATTCTCACAAATTTTAACTAAGGACCAAACATAGAATTTTCTGTTATAGATTTTTACCATTATCCTGCTATTTTCACATATTACATAATACAGTCTATACCTATTTTAAAGTAAACATTTTCATTTATAAATAGTTTTTAACTAAATGTTTGTATAACACTTTATATCCAGGAAGGTAGCAAAATACTTCACAGACTGTACTTTAAATAAAACGCATGTTCTCTTCTACTAAAACATGAAAATCATTTGTATCTGCAGTTCTAATGAAGAAAACTATACTCTCTTCCCTCACATAATAATACTCTCTGACTAGACATCAAGAGACCAAATTTCTAGTCCTTGCCTCACTACAAACTCAGTATTTGAGAACCTGTTAAGTCCCAACTTCAAATACCAGCTAATCTGAAAAACTCAAAGCCCTTTAATATCTGGCTATTGCCTGAGACTTACAATAGCTGTTACTCTTATATGATGTGGCGGTAAAAGAACTTTATTGGAAAGATGGAATTCGTTGTTTGGGGGTTGCATATTGTGCTACTGGTAGTAAAGCTGCCTTGACTTCTCCAATGTAATGTATCTCCACAATGACCCAAAAAGAGTGAGTTGGAATAAGAGTGGAAGGAGGAGCACATTCTGTCCTTTGACATTCTGCAGATGGTCACTACATACTCTGGATACCAGGCACATTGCAAGCAGTGGATGTTCACACACAACTGCCCCTGACTTCCCTCTAGAGGAAAATAGCCTTCTCTTTTCCATTAGGTTACCATGATTTGATGATCATGAATGGTTAATCTCATCATTGGTAGAGAGGCATCTGTTCCAGTGGTACCTTTCACAGGTCCTTTGATGTTCCTACAGTATTTTACCCTTCTCCCCATTTGGCGTCAACTAATGCAAATTCCTATTTTCACCCAAGAACACAGGTGGCCTTTCTCACCTAGATCTAGTCTTCATCTCCTCGAAGCATGTGTGTAACCATTTGAAGAGGTGATGACAGTAATGGTGGGTGGTATTTCTTCCCAACAAGATGGTGGTACATTCCACCTGGGTCTTTAACATACTAGACTATCCCAATTGCTACCGAAATCAAATTTTGATCTACCATGCCCCGATGTCATCCATATATATTTAGGGCAACTTTTAATATGATTATAACCCCATACTGTGCACAAAGGGCTGCACTGTACGCTGGATTTTCTGAATGTATAAAACAAGATGCATACCCAAGAGAATAGACATTTTCCCCAGTGATACAGAAAACAGGCATTAGACTACACCCATTTATTTTAGTGTTCAGTGAGTGGCAGAGCTCAATATGGGCCGAGACAGTTCTCTCAAGGAAAAGTTTCATAAGGAATACATCATTTTGCATGGGCCTTGAAGAAGGGGAAAGGCCTAGATGAGAAAAAGTGATAAAGGCATGAAATAGCCAAAATACTGTGTTCAAGGGCTCAGAAATACAAATGTTCTCAATCTTTCTGACACGCTGAAGGTTAACTGGGCTAGACCAGATGGAGTACTGACAGAACGGAAATCGGAGAGGGCCTATTTTGTATAGATTCAGTAAACTTACATACCCAGGCTAAAGAATTTGGAACCAGAGAAATTCCTTAAAGCACCTTTTCTCTAAGTACATTCTGAGGTTGATAAGAGCTCCATTCAAAAGGGCAGGGGAATGGTCTGTAATCTAATAACCATGGGTATTTTGGGGGGCTTCAGCACCTTTACTATCTTTATGTACATTATAAGTTTGCAAGAGAAATGTATTGCCGTCAGCGTTTCCTATATTTATTTAAGCAAGAAACTTTCTTTGGGCTGCATCTTGAAATTCTAGTGTTCTACAAAACTCATTTTAAGATATACCACTGGAAATATTTTGAAGGGGAGGAGTTGGAGGCAGGGCAAAACACTATATTGTGATGACTAATCTTGGTGCGGTTATGAATGGATATGTCATCAACTACAGAGATGAAGTTACTATTGATGGGACCAAAGGGAAGGAGAAAGATTAGAAGAAAAGAGGATAACCTCCAGCATATGGAGAGAGTGTAGAAGGAGGTATAGATATATCTTGAGGAAACAAAGTGATGAAAATTCAGAGATATCGGAGACAATGAGTGACAATGAGTTTCCCATATTGGATGGTCTAGATTATCTTACCAATGCAGGAGTCAGGTCATCAACTGAAGAAGAGAATGGACTTGGTGGAATAGAACATAGTAAGAGAAACTACTGGAGATTTGTATTTAGAAGCCACCCTGAGCAGGAGTGAGGGTCCAGATGACATTTGTGTGTCAGGTTTTGTACTGAGAATGAGAGAATGATGGATTCATGGTTGAAGAACACAAGAAAAGACCCTGTATACAGAGGGTTGGGGAGCAAGGAAATCTGGAAGGTTATTTAGAACAATGTTGAAATGGTTTATCATGCAGTAAGGCCAGGCTGGACAAAGACATCCAATGAAGCCAGCAGGGGCCTACAAATGGCCATGTGAAAAGACTCGATTCCTTAGGCATTAAGGAAAGGGGTTCTCGGGGCACCTGGGTGGCTCAGTTGGTTAAGCATCTGACTTTGGCTCAGGTCATGATCTCACAGTTTGTGGGTTCAAGCCCCACGTTGGGCTCTATGCTGACAGCTAGCTCAGAGCCTGGAGCCTGCTTCAGATTCTGTATCTTCCTCTCTCTCTGACCCTCCCCTGCTCATGCTCGCTCTCTCTCTCTCTCTCTCTCTCTCTCTGTCTCTCTCTCTCTCTCAGAAATAAATAAAACATCTTTTTTAAAAAAGGAAGGGGGTTCTCAAGCTGGGGTTGGAACATTTGATGTCAAATGTGAAGCCTTAAAAGAGTACGTTGGAATGAAGATGAGGGCTACAAAGTCACTGGAGAAGATGGTGGTAGAAGTCTATGGGGGAAATGGTAATGAATTTTGTACTGAAATAGCAATCAAAGTAGAGAGGGAAAATATAAATCAAATGTAGAAGGTTTTGGAGAAGGTTAAAAACAGGTTCAAGAAAGCAGCAGAGAACCATGATGTAGAATCTAGTATAAATTTATGGCAAGCCCCCAATGAACAGGAACGGGATGAAGGCAGGAGATCATGAGCTAGGTATAGATTAAGATGTAGAGCACTGTCCTTAAAGCCCCACTTTGCTGGGCTCTGGCTTTATTGGCCTATGGTAAATATTTTTTTACCTTTCCTAAATGTCAGTTTTTTTCATCTACAAGATCCTACCCCCAAAGTGATAATAAGAAATGAAGCTAAACAACATATGAAAAGCATACGTATGAAAAGCACCAAGCACAATACCTCCCACATGGTCAGCATTTAGTTAGCAGCATCCAGGTTACTATGGAGGTGATGGAAGCAGGAAAAGTGGAGTGATGTTCACTCTGGAGACAGTGACAATGTGTTCTCCACGGTAACGTCATTTGATGTTTCTCGGTGCCTGTTTTCTCCATTTAGCCACAAACTGTAGTGACTAGTCCAGAAAACATACTACGTACAAGAAGCAAGGTATAGATAACTCTGATAGAACACAGATAATATGCTACACCATAGATCGTGTCCATGTTGGAGTCCTCATTACGTAGTTTCAAATGGCCTTCCTGCCAGAACCTGTGGCAGGCTTTCTGCTCAGAAAGATTCCAGAGTTGAGTGACTTAGAGAAAGAGTTCTCATCACCAGTCATTCACTAAAACCAGAAAAACTATTACTGTCTGTATATGTATGTATACATATGTATTTATATCCATATATGATAAATATGTATTGAGATACATATCTCTCACCTGATCGCCAAGACCTCTTATTTCAAAAACAAGAATCAACTGTACCTGATAGCTCCACATCTCCTGGGACATGCAAGTGTTATTAACAGTTTGTGAATTGTCAAAGAGGAATCGGGAGGTCTCTATGGAGAAAATTAACATAGATTTAATGTGACAAACAGCAGGACCTGCTATTGGCAGGGCCATCCCAGGGGTCTTCAAGCCATCAGAGGTATTTCTTCTGGACATGGGTATTAACTAGTGGTTAATTAAAGAACTAATATTTTTTAAAGGAGCTAAAATATTTTAAAGTACAACATTTCTTACAGCATTGGAAAGTTGAAGATGATGGGGTTCCATTCATTCGTCTGGCCATGATGCCTTCGGTGCCTTATTCATGAAATGGTTTTTCTCACCACTTTCCATAGAGGTGGGATTAGTGATGTAGACTTGGGAATTCATTTCAGGTAATTAGGTAAAAAGTTAAAAGTCAAATAGATTTCTTTAACAGGTTTAATGGTTTAACAGGTTGATGAGCGACTTAATTCCCACATCTTTCTTCTCAGGGGACTATTAGAGTTTTAAGGGCCCTTAAAAATAATAATATCAACATTTTCTGGAAAGTGGTAAATGCTGCACCTCCTTCTTCCAGTTTAAATGACTCATCCAAGGTCATACAACTAGTTCTGTCATTCCATTTTCCCTCCTCATCCTCTTGCTGTCTTTAACTCTCCCTCCTTTATTCTCTCACCAATATTTTGTGCCCCTTACAACCACCTCTCTGCCAATTATTTCTTGGATTTACCCCACTTTTGTAAAATTTCCTAGCCTCAAATTATGAGACAGTGGGTCTTTGCCAATTAGGAAACCCTCACCACTAATTCCTCACTACATTTGGGGCAAAGAAAGGAGGGAAGTGGAACAATTTTAAATTTGCTGTGATCTTTGAGACAGCTTTATCTACACCTGGGAATTGCTGTTAGACAATTAAGGTTAGTAAAGCACGTTGAATTTCTCAGAGGAAAGGTGTTATTTGAATTATTACCAGATAATTATTGTTAAAAATAACAATAATGTAAAAAATAGGAACTTTACATGTTAGAGGCATTATCATTTTAATTTCCAATGGGGTGTATTACAGCCCTGGGGGATCTAGGAACAATTTTTTTTTCATAATATGCTCTACACCAGAAACTCCTCGAGTTCTGTGTAATGCCTGATGACCTGACAAACTGGCCCAGAATCAGAATCCAGTCATGCTGTGTGTACTGTTAGCCAAGTTATTCAGCTTGAACTGCTCCTTCGAAAACAGTAGGAAGGTGAGAGTCAGACATAAGACCTGTGGTACCCAGACCAGTGTCATCAGCATCACCTGGGAGCTTTCTAGAAATGCAGAATCACAGACAGTCCCAGACACGCTGAACCAGAAATCCTAAATGATTCATTTGTTCATTAGGGTTTGAGAAAACCGATATAAGATGTTCTCATCTTCAAATAGAAAGGAGCTAGGGTGAAGCTCCATTTATTGATAGTTTTCTGAAGGAGTTCCTTCACCTGAGGTCTGTACTCTCCGTTTTTTGCTTTTCCAATGGCTCTGAATCATCATGGAAATAGCATAAGCCTCTTTATTGTGCTGAGGTCACAGTAGGAACTAGAAATATGTCCATGCTATGTTGGAACAGTTGTATAATTTTAAAAAATAATGGTAACCCAGATTTAAAGTCAGAGGGATCTGGCTCAGATCTGACCTTAAATTCTGACCTCTCTATCCATGGCTTTCTAATCTTGGAGTGGTTACTTGAGCTCTCTTAGTTTCACTTTTTCTCATCTATAAAATGGGTACACTGAGACCTTCAGTACGACATTGCTGGGGGGATTAAGTGAGGATGTATTTACATGTAAAAATTCCCCATGCAGTCCCTAACAAAAATGTAGACCTCTAACAAACGGTAGCTATTATTGTTACCATTAACTTTTTTGTAAGCTCTGGTCACAAAGGCCCCATCTGTCATTTTAGAATGCTTTGGTTTGATTTCCAGAGAATGGGAAGAGCCACACTGAAATGAGACCTCCATAGAAAATTCTGTGCAGTGATCTGTGGCAGTGTGTTACATAACAGCTCTGCTCTCCAGGGGCTTGCAAGACAGAGCTACAGAGACATCAACAATAAAACAGACTGGAGTGGAAATGACCCACTCTCTCCCCTGCCTCTGACACCATCAAGAACTTTGCCAGCTGGGTTCCAAGAGCAGATTCTTTATTACAGTGATGATGTAAGAGGCAGAGAGAACAGCTGGATTTCCAGATTCTGGGAAGCATGCATAGCCCCAGTAGGCTCTCAAGATGATCTTTTGACTTAAAAACTGAGTACACTGGATAAGGAAAGTCGTTGCAATAGAATAAATATGAAACCCCATGAAGTCATTTTCACATAGTCTTTTTTAGAGCCTAACCACCCTGTAAGCAATAAAACATGCTAGACTATGCAGTAGTTCTGACTAATAACCCCTTAGGTGTGTGCTGAGGCACACAGGGTAGTCAAAGAAGGAAGATTAGGTGACAGGTTGCCAAAAAATGAAAGGAAGATTATAGCAGCAGGGTGTGGGGCTGAGAAACGGAAGTTTGAGTAAAAAACAGAAAGATGGTGTCTTCCTTTAATTAAAAAATACACAACTTAAATCAAATATTAGGCATATTTAAAATGTACACTTATCAGGGGCGCCTGGGTGGTTCAGTCGCGTGAGTGTCCGACTTCGGCTCAGGTCATGATCTCGCAGTTCGTAGGTTCGAGTCCTGCATCGGGCTCTGTGCTGACAGCTAGCTCAGAGCCTGGAGCCTGCTTCAGATTCTGTGTCTCCCTCTCTCTCTCTGACCCTCCCCTGCTCACACTGTCTCTGTCTCAGAAATAAACATTTAAAAAAATTAAAAAATAAAATAAAATGTACACTTATCTAATTACACAATGGCTTTGTATGCTTTCAGGTGATTTTTCATTACAATGTACTAGACATATCAGTCAGTGATATCCTTTATCATTTTAATGTAGTTTCCAGGGGGAGAAAAGAGAAGGAAGCTATATCTGATGAAGTGTTGATAACCTGGCCAGCCCCAAGATGGTTTAGTAAGAACTATAGAGAGCTCTTGAGCCCAATTTGCTGTTTATGTAGCTGCAGGGGTATTGCTATTAATTGGGTGTCTCAATGCATAGTAGGCTCTACCATACTGGACAAAAAGAATATGATTAATAGTACCAAGTTTTTCTTCCAGTGAGTAACAGTGAGTTAGTACTCACCTGAGAGAGGCAGATGAGGTCTTGTAGTACTGTAGGCTACCATTAAAGAGCCGAGTTTTTCTGGCCGAGTGAACACTACTGAGATTCCCTGGAAAAGTCTGGTTTTTTCACCTAGGTGAACACTGTCATCCTCACGTGTTTACTGGGTGGAGATTTTCATCTTTAGGTGAGAGGAAAGGATTCTGGTTGAGGATGAGGATAGAAAGGAGATTAAGGAATGAGTGTTTCTTCTATCATGAGAGAAGAAAGAAAGTTAGAACAGACCTGGGAGCACTCATCTATGCATTTCCACAAGTATAGTGACACAGGAGAGAAAAGTAAGTGACAATGTAAACAAACATATAGGATAAATCCCACACAAAACTAGATGGAAAAAGAAGCACTGATGTGGGTTGCATTATAGCAGGAATGTCAATAGCCTCTGGTTCCACAGGGTGAGAATTTAACCATAGAACTACTGTGCCTTGTTTTCACCAAGAACTTCAGCTGAACCCACTGCTTCTCTGAAGCATGAAAAGTTTCTCCATCGTGGTTTTCACCCTCAGTTTATCACCCCAGTGGTATTTGCAATAGTGTCATAATTGTCTCTGCTGATCATATTAGAAAGGTTTGTTTCCTTGTTCTTTAAAATCCATCTCGTTTTTTAACATCATTTATCTATAAAAGGGTTATTTATTATTTCAGTTTATTGAAGTGAACAAGTGAAACAAAATTCTTTGTATTTTGGAACCCAGTATATGCTTGCTGGCTGTGCACCCCATTAGCCCTTCACGCTCTCTGATCTGGTCACTATCAGTGGTCTACAGGGCCTATTGGTGCCAAGCAAGCACTGATAGATATTTAAAGATTTGTAACCTTTTCTATCAGTTATTGAAGCTCAACCAGGAACAAGGATGTGGCCTTGAGCAAGACGGTTCCCTTAATCTCATCTGAAAAATGAGAGGTGATGAACTTTCATGTTTTTCCAATTCAGTCTCCATTTCCATGACTCTAAACAGGAATCTTGATTCCTTTTAACTTTGGTTCAGCAGACACCAGCCGAGTACAAGACTGTGTGCAAGGGTAGACCAAGTAAAAACCATCTCTGCTTTCTATGAGCTTATAGAGAGGGAGCCAGATTACATAAATAATTATTATAGTCCATAGAATGTGCAAAGGGAGTAGTGCAGAAAGTGCTTGAGGACTCAGGGCACTTTCTTTTGGAAGAGGCTTTACAAATGAGGTGACATTTGGATGCAAATAAGCGGAACTTCGCTGGCTGCCCTGTAGGGCTATAGGAGTAGAAATTAGCCCAGGACTATCTTATAGAGGCCTTGAATGCCAAACTGAGAAGTTTGAATTTAATCCAGCAGGCAAAGATAATCCAAAGATTATCCAAAGGGATAATAGGTTTAAGATGGTACTGAAGAAAAATTAATGTGGTATTGGTGTGAAGGACGGGCTAGAGGTAAAAAAGACCTGAAGGAAGCAAAGCTGTGGGGAAGCCCTGGCCAAGAGCCCTGGCACAGGTGATATAGGGACAAATAGGTGTTGGGACAGAAAGTAGGTGTTGATTTAGGAAGCACAGCCTCAGCACAAACCATATCTTTTGGCAGCTGATTGGACATGAGAAGCAAAAGAAAAGGAGGAATTGATGACTCCTCCATTGTAGGACCAAGTACCTGGGTGGAAAGGGTTCCGATCAATGTCAGGAAATGGGAACATAGTTTGAGGGAAAGCTGTTTTAAACTTTCTGAATTAGACGTGCCTGTGCAGTATTTGATGGAGGTGTGAGCTTAGTGCCTACCTTATTCATCTTTTCCAGGTGCCTGATAGATGCTGAGCAAACACACATGAATGAATGAATGAATGAATGAATGAACGAACGAACGAACGAACGAATGAGTGAATGAACCAATAACCAGGGGCTATTAAGAACGTGGATCTGGAGCTCTGCAGACAAGCAGGAACTAAAGATAGCCATGTGGGTGTTCTCTATGGAGAAGTAATTGTTGAGTTCATGGAGGGTGGGTGTAGGCAAAGCCTGAGAGAGAATCTTGAGGAATATCTACATTTAGGGAATAGGAGGAAGAAGACAAGCCAGCAAAGGAGGCAGGCAGAGGAGAGAACTGAGAAGTGGAAGGAAAGTCAGGATAATGCGCTGTCCCAGTGAGAAGGGAGGACAATTTCAGGAATAATGTGGTCGTCAGGGCTTCGTGTGACCAAAGGGACAAGACCTGAGCAAGGACCTCTGGGTGCGAGGCTGGAGACAGTCAGAGGTCAGCCCTGTAGCCTCTTAGGCTGATCACCACAGGTTAGAGGACATGAGAGCAGAGAATCCGTAGTGAAGGGCCGAGTCATGGCAAGAGCTCAGACAGCAGCCAGGTCAGTGGTGGTTTTAGAACAGGTAAGAACTAGGCACCAAAGGGGGAGGGGCTACAGTGAAGTCAAGAACACCAGAAGAGCCGTGTTGGCAAAGTTGAAGGACCACCCCCCCACACATTTGCATCTCCCCACCACAAAATCAACTCCATCTGCACAGACAGGCTGCAGTGGAAGATCTCAGATCACCTGGCCAACAGGTGGGCACGCGGAGAACGGATCCTGGGCAACATTCTCTCTTCTTCCTCTGCCTCCCCTGCTGTGTCGCTCTCTGGTACAAACGTGCAGGACCAGACTCTCACCCAGGTTCCCAGGGTTCTGTGTCCATCAGCATGAATGATCACCACCACCTATCATTTAACAGCCTATCTTTCTTTCTTGTCTGCTCTAGATGCAGCCGCTCTCTGTTCCCTGCCCCAATGAACGTCTGCACTAGGCCCAAGCCTTGGAGTGATTTACCTGAAGAGTGACACCATTGCTTTGGAAACTACTGTGAGTATACCATGCCTCCAACGAAGGCTTCTCAGTTCACTTAGTTTAGAAAACAAAAGCAAACAAAACCCCAAAACTCACACAATTGTACATGCAGATGAAAATTTAGATGGCTTCGTGTCTGGAACACAGCGAGGTCACCAGACACCAGACTCAGCCCTGAGCAGCATCACACATCCTCACCAGAGGGCTTTGCTGAGCCAGACCCGGGCAGACTTTGCAGGGACCAGTGTGCTTCTACCCAGTCATCTGCACCCTGACCCGAAGCTGTGGCAGCTCCCGCACCATCTCTTTGTCTGTCGTCACCTTCTGTGCTACTCTGTTGAATCTCCCTTCATCTTGTCATTTCATGTCACCATGAGCCAGCTCTCTCATCAGCATCTACCTGTTGTCCAAGCTGCATGCTGCTGCCGGCGCTGTTGCCTCCTTGCTACTTTAAGAGGCCAAGTTCCTCCCTGTGGACTCTGGGCTCCTCAGCCACATCTCTCAGCCATTGCTTCCAGCTCAACCTTGCCCTCTGGATGCATGGCTGTGTGAGTGTGATTTAGTTCCCTCTGTGTCAGCCATTTATGTAGAAGAAGCACAGCCCTTACAAGGCAAGGTGCAGAAGTAAGTTGGGACGGGAGATACGATGCCTATAGGAACATACTAATGAAAGATTGATATCAAGTATTCATTAACCATTGCTAAAAGTAACAGATGAATATATGCTTTTTTTTTTTACTGGAAAAGCCAGAAATTTAGATTATTTAGAAGCTATGCCTGCAAAATAACTTAATTATACATTTTAAGACAAAACTTTGTTCTAATTATACTTTCGAGCTTTCCTGTACGGTATGAGGCAGGTAATGGGATGGTGTCTTACATCTCTGTTACTGGAAAACGCTAACCCTGGGAGACTAACATCCCTCTTAGGCTTTCAGGTAGGATTTTCACATTTCTATTTTCTATGTCCTTACTTATTCTGGCATAAATCATACCCAGAGGGATAAAGCTGGGGTTTTTGTTTTGTTTTGCATTGCTTTTCACCTTTAATGCTTTCAGTCACCTGGATGGTAAATAGTGGTAGTAGATGTGTAGGTGACAGGCAGACTTGCCTGGCCAATACAGAGATGGGGACCATTAGAGTGATCTGTACTACTGGCTTCAAGGGGGCTGGGGACTTAAGACATGACAGAAGACAAAAATAGTTTCTTCAGGGGTGCCTGGTGGCTCAGTCGGTTAAGAATCCAACTCTTTTTTTTTTTTTAATGTTTTATTTATTTCTGAGAGAGAGAGAGAGAGAGAGAGACAGTGTGAGCAGGGAAGGGTCAGAGGGAGAGGGAGACACAGAATCTGAAACAGGCTCCAGGCTCTGAGCTAGCTGTCAGCACAGAGCCCGACGCGGGGCTCAAACCCATGAACCGCAAGATCATGACCTGAGCTGACGTCAGATGCTTAATCAACTGAGCTACCCAGGCGCCCCAAGAATCCAACTCTTGACCTCAGCACAGGTTTTGATCTTAGGGTTGTGAGTTTAAGCACTGCATTGGGCTCTGTGCTGGGCAAGAAGCCTACTTAAAAAAAAAAAAAAAAAAGTTTCTGCATATCCATGCAAGGAACTTACTAGCGTGAACACCTTCATTCATCCTTAAGATTTAGTGAAAGGAGTGCTTTAAAAATTCCCACATCTGGATGGTTTTGTGGGTTTTTCTGCATCCCAGCTAACTACGCGGGTACCAGTAGCACAGCTGTGCTAAGGTGTAGCTGGGATTCCCAGGTTCCATGTCCTTTGGGAGAAGAGTCTTTAACCACTCCTATCTTCCTACAGAGAACTCCCCCTCCAGACCCAGAAATCAAGACCTCCGGTCTCCTGAAAATCACAGGGAGGCCTGCAAGTGAGCATCTGTTTCTGCCCTAGGAAGCCTTTTCCCTGTGCATGACACATGTTCAATGCTTCACAAGTTCTACCGTGGAAGTATTGGGCTCTAACCTTTGCAGGCTCTGCTTTTCCAAAACTCAGCTCTCTCATATATAAAGAAGAAACAGCTATAAAACTTACATACTTGCTAGGTACCAAACCAGTAAGGTGAATACCATATAAAAATGTGGACAAAAATGTGTCAGTCCAGTGGGTTGACAGTGCCCTGGGCCAGTCTCAAGGGTTGGGGTTGGGTAGCGAGGAAACAAGTGTTAGAAATGAAAATCTGCCCACTCCCACACCACCGGCCCTGCCGTGCTC